TGCAGAGGAAGGACACAGAATCCGCCTGGATTTACCAACACGTCTGCAGGCATAATCCCAGGTAAATATTGATTCAGCGTATTTACACAGAAGTATCTTATCACAGTGCGGCGCGAAAGTGACCAAAAAATCTAATTGGTCACGAATTGTTTTACAGCGCCAGGAAGATGACACAGAGGGCGTTAATTACCGCATTTTACAGGTTCCCGTGGGAGGGAAAAATACAGACGTATATACATTTGCAGGAGCACTCACATTTTGCCAGAACTGAAAAATACGTATCCAAATGCCTATGTACCCACCTAAAAAAATAAAATAAAAATCTGGACACCCACGACGCACTCTGTTCATTTGAGACCGAGATAACGCTGGCATTTCCAAACACAGCCTAGTAGTTACTAGTAAATACCCCGGCGGTTTCTCTGAGCACGCCTGTAGTTTTCTTTTCAAGGGAGTCATTTATCCAAAGCGGAAACTGTGGGGACCAGTCGTCCCATTTTAGAGATGAGAGACCAAGGCTCAGAGGGAGGAGGAGAAACCCAGGTTCCTGGTTAATCAATGGCTTGCCAGGACCAAGACGAGAAATTGTCCTGAGCCCCTGTCACAGACTGCCAGTTGCTGCACCCCCCTTCCCCCAATATTTATTCTTTGCTTTTTTCCTTAGCAAAAGAACACCTAGTTTTTAGCTGCATGTGACTACCCAGAACAAACATTGCATTCCTGACGGCCTGGCACCTCAGTGTGGCCATGGGACTAAGTTCAGGCCAGTGGAAATGCGTGAAAGTGTGTGGGCAACTTCCAGGGAGGGGGAGTGCCGCCTCTGCCTTCTCTTTCCTGTGCTGGAATGCATATGTGATGGCTTGAGCTCAGGCAGCTGTATGGGGCCATGAGGTCGATGCCTTTGCTGAACATGACAGAGCAATCTGAGAGAAGGGCCCTGGGTCTCTGATGACTTTGTGAAGCCTTCTACCATCCCTGGAATCCTGAAACACCCACCTCTGGACTTCTCTTATAAGAGAGAAACTTACTTCCACCTCTTTAAATGTGGCTTTTTTTGTCCCTTGCTCCTGAACCAACACAGGCCTTCCCTGGGTCTCCTCTGAAATACGGCTGTTTAACTCCCTCACGATGACAGAGATGAAGGAACAGCCCCAGAAGTCACAGAGTTCTCTTATAGAAACACTAGAGGCCCGGTGCACGAATTCATGCACAGGTGGGGTCTGGCCAGCTAATCCCGATCGGGTCTGATCAGGCTGGGCCGGCTGGGGGGGGAAGGGCCGTGGGCCATTGGCCGGTTGCCCCCACCCCCTGATGGTGGGGGGGGACATGATCAGGGGTAGGAATGGCCAGGGGGGAGGGGCCGCAGGCCATTGGCCAGCCAGCCCCACCCCCTGTTCGAACTCCTGGTTGAACTTCCTGTTGAACTTCTGACTGAAGGGACAATTTGCATATTAGCCTTTTATTATATAGGATTTCACTTCCGACCTGTGTGAAGTAGTTGCTGGAGCAAACAGCCCCTGCTCCCGGTGTGTGGGCCCAGACCGAGGCCTGGAGAGCACTCCCAACAGCATGTTCACACGAGGACGAGTCATGAGGCTGGTGATACATTGAAGGCCATGGCCCCTGTCAGCCAGCTTGCCCCACCTTCCTGAGGAAACGCGGGTGTGCATACGATCTCAAGGCTCTGGGGAAACACTTCCCGGAGGGTCAGCCTCTGGGACAGTTGGGTGCACGGGCCCATCGAGCTCTGGTCAAGCTTCTGATGTGTCGTGTCACCCGTCCTGGGTTCCCCTCGGGGGTGAGGTGTTCCCCCTCTTCCTATCTGTCCGCATTTCCCTCCTCCTCCAAAGGACCCTGCTCTGCCCACTGAGAGACACAGCATTCATCCCGCCGTGTTCCTGTCACGGGGTCACTGGAAGCTCCCAGCTGCCTCCTCTCCTGACCTTGAGAGCCACAGCGGCATTTCACACGTGTCCTCTGGGGGAAGAGGGGCCAGGTTCTATGTGGAGTCGGATACTTAGGGCCTCCTTCTGCACAGGAAATGGCGGCAGCAGCCAGAGAGAGGCCCTGCCAGCTCCCGTGGCAGCCGTGAGCACCCCCAGGGGACACTGCCTGTGCAGGGTCCTCCGTGCTGGGGAGAGACCCCTTGTGCAGAAGAAGAAGCTGAGTGAGAGGTTGCTTTGCTCCAGGTCACAGCAGCTGGGCAGTCCCAGCACAGGGACCTAGTCCTGCCTCTGACCAGAGCCTGGGTCTCTATCGCCCTTTCCAGCCTCCACCTGGGAGGAAGTCATCACACACGGCCCTGAAAGGGAAGCCTGAATCTCAGGCGACAGCTGGAGGAGGAGAGCGGCTTCTCACTGCCAGCTGTGTATCCCCATCCCTTGACCAGGACCCTCTCAGGTCCCTGCACCCCATTGTTGTCCCATGGCTGTCCAGGATCCTGTGGTCAAGCCCATTTCCATTCAGCCCACAGTCACCAGAAGAGGCTCATGCTAACCTTATTTATACTAGGGTGTGATTAACTGATACATGCCTACTGTTTCCCTTTGGAGAGGCAGGCATTATAATCAAGGGCTCTTGATCACCTACAGCTTAGTGACGAAGGAATGGAGACTGAAGGATGCGCCTTCCAACAGGGTAACAAGGGATCTTTCCAGGGGACGCCCTCCAGTTACAGCCCTGTGCTGCCGGAAGGAAGATACTTAAGGCCAGGTCAGAAGTCCATGGGCTGTGCAGTTAGTATAGGAGTGTCACACACTCTGCAACTCCTGGGCAGAACTCCCACCCAGGAAGTGCCCCTGGGAGAGGTGGATGCTGGCGTCTGAACCTGGAGATGTCTGTGCCTGTGTATCTCCTCCCAACGCCGATGGAGCGAACACTGCATCCAGCCCTGCCCTGAAAGGACCCCAGCGGCACCTCTGCCCTGCCTTCCTCCACCCTCTCAGTTAAACAGCCCAGGTGGTTAAGACCGCACGTCCCAGAATTCCTAGCTCCCCTCCCCCCCACCACGTGCATCAGGCTGGCTGATTGATGACAATGACAGACGATGCCACCACACCTCTGGCTGATCGGCCGAGGGCCACCGAAGAGGAAGTGGGCTCTCGGACAATCTCAGTGTAGGGATCTCAAAAGTTTGGCAAAACTTTGTTGCTATTTGAGGGCTCCTCTGTAAACATTTGATTGCTCAATTCGAATTCCTCCTTCCTCTGTCTTGACTCTCGGGCGCTTTCAGAACAAACCAAAAATAAAAATTAGTTCTTTTCCAGCTAATTCATTCATTTTTGCAAGTCCTCACTCTGTCCCCCTCTGCCCTTGGAACTTGTCTCCCAAAGGAGGTCAGAGGGCCTCAGAGACAGAGGGTCATCCATGGGGGTGTTGCAGCTTTGTCAAGAAAGTCTCTGGGAAAGCAGCTGCCCCATAGACTCTGACCTCTGACCTTTGAGGGGGGAGCACAGAGTCGGGGCCACTGAGAACCACCTCCTGCCCCCTCTGTCCTACAGGAGAGGACACCCCAGCTCATGTCCGGGAATTCTCTTTGGGGAGCAAGGCCTCCTCATTTTTCATTCATTCATTCAATCGTAGATGGAGTGATGGAGTGATGTCATTCATTCATTCACGCATCAAAGGATGGAGGGTGGGGCTGGTCAGACCGACCCGAGTCTTGGACTTGGTGGCTAAATTCCCATGAGACCGGAGCAAGGCTCTGTTTCCAGAAATGCCCTCTGCCCTGCCCCAAAGCATCCCAGCTGGCCCCTGATGCCAGGAAGGCCCTCAGAGTGCCCGTCTTTCCGAACAGAGTCCCCTCAGGAAGGACGGGAAGCAGGAAGCTACCAGCTGGGAGACCAGGGCAAGTTGTTCTCCTTGAGCCTCATGGTCCTGGTCCACCTGGCGGACATGGGAGAGGCCCCGCCCACCTGGTCAGGTGGACCAGAACCACTCACTGGGCTGCTCGGAGCAGGATCTGCTGTGGTGCTGGAGGCTGGAGGCCGAGGCCTGGAGCCGGGGAGCGAGCTGCCCAGGCCTCACAGTGGAGGAGGGCGGGCTGGGACCAGGCCCCGCTCTGAAGCCTCAGCCCCCCTTCACAGTGTCACCTCCTGTCAAGCCCATTTCCCTTCAGCCCACAGTCGCCAGGAGAGGCTCAGGCACAGGGCGGCTCAGTGCTTACAAGAGGAAGCTCAGGAGAGAGGCCGTCACTCACAGTCCCGACGCTACCAGCTGGCAGGTGAGGAGCAGGTGTGACTCCTTCTCTCTGGGCCTCAGCTTTACCCTCACGCGAAATGGGATCATAACAGCAGTAACAGGTGCCAGGCTGGTGCTTAGAGCCCTTAACACAACTCACGTGTTTCCCACCCAGAGTCCTCTGTGGTGGACCCTAGTATCAGCCCCATTGTACCAATGAGTAAACCAAGGCACGGGGAGGCAAAGCAACCGCCTCCGGGGGGGCCTTAACACAGGGTCTGGCCTCAAAGCCCTGGCTTCGGGGCCGACCTCATAGGGCCCCACAAGGCTCAAAGCTTCATTGGTGGAAGGCTTCCCTGGACGCCTGGTACACTCAGGGCTCAACACAGGCAGAACGGCGCTTCTCAATGGGGGGAAGTGGCTTTTGCCTTCAAGGGACATTGGGAATGTCTGGGCACATGCTGGGGTTGTGACAGCAGAGGGCTGGGTACCATTGGCCCCCAGTAGCCCAGGTTTGCTGCCAAACCCCCAGAGTGCACAGAACGGCCCGCAGGACAAGAACGGCCCAGCCCCGCACGTCAACAGCACCAAGGGTAAGAAGCCTGGGGCTGGGAATCTAGGAGGCGCCTTACATTAACGCACCCACTGACGGGCCTGCCCACCCTGGGGCGCTTTCCCCGCAGGCTGGTCTGGGCACCCCTGGAAGCCGAGTTCCCTGGGTCCTCCCAGCACCTCCCAGGGTTACAGAGGGCAGCCTGGGCTGGCTGGCGGCGAGCAGCGCTCCCCTGGCCCCCACCCCATGGACCCCGCCTGCTCCTTACTTGCCAGCAGAGGGTCCAGCACCGTTTCCTCCATTGGGCCACCTCCCGCGTCCTGGCCTCCGGTGGCGCCGGGTTCCTGCGGCGGGTCAGACACCAGGGCTGCACTTCACCTCTGTGTCGGAATCTTGGGCAAGGTGGCAGAGGCCACTCCTGAGGGCGAGCGGAGTTTGCAAAATGAGTCAGAGGGCGAGAGGGCTCACAGCCAGGTGTTGCACGTGAAGGTAATCATTAACACGCAGCTCAGACACCTCCCCAGGATCCCGCGTGGCATCTGCCGGCCTTAACCGCGGTCTGAGCCACCCACCCAATCAGGGCTCAGCTCAGCCGGTTGCCTGCGGAAGGGGAGGGTGAGGGCCCAGGACCCCTCTCCCACTGTCCGCACGGCTTCAGCTCTGAGAGGGCGGGGCCGATGAAGGAGAGGGATCCCCATTTCACAGCCCGCACTGAGGCCCCTCAGATCACCCTGCTGCCCTTTCCTAAGCGCCTCTT